ACCCTTTCCATTACGAATAAGTCAATGTCAGAATATTGAAATGCGCCTGTTTTGAACAAAAGTCGATGTAAACACTCCAAAACATCGTTAAACAGGAAAGCAACACACACTGAACTCTGAGAGCGACATTTCAGTCTCTGGGGTCCAAGGAAGAAGTTTTTTGTTTCATGCCATCCTCCAAGGTTCCCTACCAGTCCCTATTGGTCCACATGCCGGAATTTGAGGGCTCTTATCTGGGTCGCTGCGTATTTGAAGCGGGCCATGTCTGCCGGCGTTATTGTGGGCTGTAGCACCGCACTTTAGTCCTCTCCCCGCAGGGTGCTATCACCGCCTGCCAATCACCACGGGTTCAGCCCACTCCCGGCCGCCGTGATCGTGACGTAAACAGAGCTGACTTCTCGACTTCGCGGCGGCGGCGGCGGGACGGAGGCCGGCAACTTAACTACGATACCGTACAACCTTTAAACTACGACAAACTACGACCACGATTGTAATACAGGCTTATAAGACATTTCTAACACAGACACCCCTGCAAGGGTTCTGAGTGTAGCTTTTGCCTGAGTGGCCGTTTCCTGACGAATCAGTTTTGAAGCTCGAAATGTCTAAAATATCTGTGTTTAGTTTTAATGTACATATTATGTTATTTTCCTCCAAAAAGTCGATTTATGTGAAAACATGTTTTATGTGGTTATATAGAAATATGATCTCTACTCATGATCCCCACCCGAAAAGATTGAAAAGCTTCAGTTAATCAGATTTCTTGTGAATCGTGGAATGGATAGGACTTATACCTATCAGCCACCAATTGAAGCTAAGTATAAAGTTGGCGTTCGTACTGCAATGTTCTTTTAAAGCCCCATTCCCTCTCTAAGGACCACCTCCCCATTCCGACCTCTGAGAGCCCCACCGGCCTCTAATGACCTCAGATGCATTGTGACATTTTATTCAACTTCATAATCGGACATTGTGGGTTTGACGACTTTTTCCCCAGTCCCCACAAACTTCCCTGGAAAAGCTCCACCCATGCGCAGAGGACGGCAAGGGGTGCCCATAGGCTAGTATGGACTCTTTAGAGGCCAGCCTAAAACCCTAAGAAGTTGGCGTGAGCCCCACGAAGTATAACTTATGTCTTTCAGAGGTTTATATGGGGTTCTTAGAAACCTGCGCCATGCATGTGTGCCCTGACCCCCGTGGGATCCTCAAAGATCGACATATGTATGTATGTATGTATGTATGTATGTATGTATGTATGTATGTATGTATGTATGTATGTATGTATCTATGACGTATTTACGTCATGGGGCACATCCGCATAGTTCAGTGGCTATTCCGCGCCCTGAAGTCGTGAAGATAAAAAAACGGTCATTTAGGTCAACATACACACATCTGCACACGCACCAACCCACACACGCATGCTCTTTACAGTACATACACCTAGCCGACGCCGCCCCGCTGCTTCATAAGCAGGTGTTGCCTGAGTTCTTTCTTAAAGCCTCCAGTAAAGTTTCGCAACTCACGTGGCAAAGCATTATAGGCGGTGACGATCGAGTGCTTAAAACGACGCCTGCCCGACTCGGATCGACTCGCCGGCATGACTAAATGGTCGGCGTTCCGTGTGGTACGATGGTGAACATCACCACGAGTGACTAGGTCGCCGGCGATCGACTCGGGCTCCGATGTCATTAACATGCGCTTCAGTAGGATAAGACCGCGGTATAGATACAGGTGCTCTGCAGTAAGCCAGTCAAGTCGGTCCAAAACGTCGCTGATGTGATTGTAACTCCTTCAACCGTATAAGACACGGGCGGCAAAGTTCAACACCTTCTGAATGCGCCTCATCTGGGTCTTGTTACACACGCCGTATACGACCAAGTAGTATAAAATGCGCGAAACGACAAGTCCCTGAATGAGCGTCGAGCATGTGCTGACCCGCTGTGGCGGGTCAGCACATGCTGGATCTGCTCCTCCAGCTCGTCCAGGTCGGTGGACACCTGGTCCTGGGTCTGTACCGGCGGCCGGTACGCCGCGCTGACCATCACTCGGTGGGAGCCGGCTCGGAGCTGCACCCAGAGCGACTCCAGCTTAGAGCCGGCCACAGGTGGGCCGGGTCGCTCCACTGTTGTCAGCTCCAGCGACTCTGGCTGCTATGGCTACGCCGCCGTATCCCCTGTTGTCGGGTCGGTCTCGCCGGACCAGCTGGTAGCCGGGGATGGGCACAAGCCTGTTGGGTGTCGTAATCCGCATCCATGTCTCATTGAGCACGATAACATCAAACCCGTACTCGTCGATGTCATGACGCAGCTCGAGCAGCTTCGGTTTCAGGCTCTGAATGTTAATCTGTCCGATGTATAGCTCCCCCGGCCGCGGCGCGGTCCGCCAGATGCGGCCGCCCCGGGAGCCCCGCCGCCTGCTCCTCGCTCCCCTCCGCCGCGGCCGGCCAGCCGCACCCCATTTAGGTTCTCAGCTCTATCAGACAGGCACTGCTTTTTGTCAAGCCTCTTTGCCGTGTAATTCACCATGAAATTATCTTCACAATAGAGCCTCGAAGCCGTCGCTGGTTGGTCTCAACGCAGTGGTGACCCTCTCGGCGAGAATGCATATGGCCTTCTGACGACCTACAGACGTTCTGTAGAAGACGTTCTGTGGATATTGGCAATGAATCTTTTAAAAACCTCTTCTAGATCTCTAAGAGGCCGCATAAGGCAATGTTTGGAGACAATGGGTAGGTTGTATTGTATTGTATTTACATTTGAGAGCGATCCACATACAAAGTGTGTGGCGATTACTGCTCAGAATCCGTATCCGCAGTTGCTAATCTAATCATTCAAAACATTTGCACATTCACTCACGTTAAAACACGGACAAAACACTCTCAGGACAGCCTCATCGCTCTTACCCACCCCCACCCTATTGGTCAGCGACGATGTGCTGATTCATCGGTCACGATTGCGGCTTTAACAGCGCAGGCGAAGCGGGCGGGAGGCAGCTGCGACAGGTGAGGCGGCAGGCTGTTCAGCGAGCTGCAGCTCGATAGCCGAACCGCCGCTTGCCCGTTTCCAGCCGCGGACGCCGGGGAAGATGGAAGAGGTGATCTTGCCTGGATTGTCCCTCGCGGATAGCGCTATTAGCGACGAACAGGGCTGCTAGTTGCTCGGGTTCTCGGCGCTGTATGATCTTGTGTGCGATGACAAGGGTGCGAAAATCGGGCCGCCCGCCGAACAGGAGGCTTTGGCCACCCCGCGCCAGCTGCCTCGGGCATCGCTCGACCTGGAAGAAATACATACGTGGTATCTCAATCTGCCGGAATTAACGGCTTACATACCTATTCGTGTCACGTGTGCGAGAACTTAAGACATCTGTCTGACTTGGTGACATGACCTTAAAAGATCTGGGTCTGAAATTTTAACATGTGCCGAAGACATGCATGAACAGGTATGCCATAAAGCGCATGGGGGGTGCTCAAACATCCAGCCAACCCGGCGCGGGTTTAACAACGTTTTCGATATAACGCTGACCGTTTCACTTGGTCTCCCCCACAGTGCGCTCCTGCCACATTCAAAAAACTTCTGGACATTGGAGAAATCACTCAGCATGACAACTTAACGAGCATCGGTGGTGTACTCACTACAAGGCTGTACTTGGTACTTACCCGCTGCAGCTGGGCGTACCAATGAGCCTGGCGCGGCGCCGGCTTGATGCCGCGCTCCCGAGGCCACCGGCCGGTTTCCGCATTGATACGGAGCCGCTCAGTCCATTCCCCGGCGCTCATCGCCTCCTTTGGCATTTTGCTGAAACCAAATAAAATAAGTAAAATAAGTTAGAAATATTCACTCCTTACAATTTTATCCCATCACAGACATTGTATCCAGTTCAACCTACTGCATAAATGTTAAGTGATTTAACACTGAGAAAACTGGTAACCGCACATCGATTTCACAAACGATCAGCTTCATCCAAAATTGTGTCTACTTCTCTCCTTATATTTCCCAGACTCGCACCTCGTATAAGTAGTCTCCTATATATTTACAACCCCAGAGGGAAAGACAGCTGGTCAGGATTTATACTTGCTTTTTTAAAGTCCGTGACGGAGCCCTTGCCTGCGTGCCCCCCCCCCCCCAAAAAAAAAAACTGGCGCGGCACGGACAGTCCTCATTATCCGTGTAAGCGGTTGCGCCTATATTGTCATGATAGCGGCACCTTCCTTGGCGACAAGGGGCCCAATGGCGACGCTGTTTTCTTAGCCCAGGGCGTCTAAGCCCTCTTACCCTGTGCCAGAGGCCCAGAACCACAAGCTAAGCGGGGGAATTCTTACCCGGGCTGATTTTGGAAACGACAGCCCGGCCGTATCGGTCGACGCGCCAGCTAACGGCGTTCACTGACAAGGCAGGCTGCGCCGCAGTACACCACGGCGGCTAGCGCGCAGAACGGTCCTTCGACGCGCCAGCTGACTGCGTTCACTGACAAGGTAGGCTGCGCCGCAGTACATTACGGAAACCATCGCGCAGAACGGTCCTTCGACGCGCCAGCTGACTGCGTTCACTGACAAGGCAGGCTGCGCCGCAGTACACCACAGCGGCCAGCGCGCAGAACGGTCCTACTGCCACCGAAACGGACGGGCAGCTTTCAGACTTCCCAGCGAATAGGAACTCGTGGGCGACTCTCGCCACAGCCAATCGCAGGTCTTCCCTGCCAGTCTTCCCGTCCAATGACACTGCGTGGGCAAGGCTGTCTTCCCCAGCCTTCCTAACCAATAGGAAGTCGTGGGCAGCCTTCGTCATAGCTAACCACAGGCCTTCCCTGCAAGTCTTCCCGTCCAATCACAGCGCTTAGGCAAGACTGCGTTCCCCGGTCTTCCTAACCAATAGGAACTCGAGGACTACTCTAGCCCTAGCCAATCGCAGATCTTCCCTGCATTGTTCCCGTCCAATGACAGTTCCCGCCCCGGGAACTAGTTCCCAAGACGCCCGAGCAGAGTTCCCTGCAAAAATCTAGTCCCCGGCGAACAGAGAAAATTCTTCCCCGGCTTTTGCGCAGGGGCCATGCTAATCTTCTCTGTATCGTTCCAATTTTAGTATATGTACTGCCGAAGCAAGTACATTTAAGTAAAATTAACTTGTGGTATTTGTAAAAGTTCGTTACATGGTTCTTCTGTCGAGTTTCGGGACTGTTGATGTTCCTGGTACACACTGTATGGTATTGTCAATGACAGAAGTGTCAAAAGAGCTGTCTGTATCACCAACATTAATTCCTCTATGTGAAGCGAATGGTTTTCTTGTACCTAAGTATAAATTTAAGCTGATAATTGAGAATTTATTGTTTGTAAAAACTACTAGCGACAGATGTAGTGCTAGCCCTCTGGTGTGTAAATGCTCAACTAACAAGAATGGGGAGTATAAACCTTTAACATTGAATCTCGTTTAAACTGTCTTTGATTCTTTCTGGTACTGATATTGAAGAATCAAACACTGTAAAAATAACGAATAGCGATTTGTTTAACTGAATCAAGTGTGACAGATCGTTGCCATCAGGTGGTCAGTTGTAGTGGACGAGTGGCGCCATCTGCGACATTGGCTCCATCTAGGCGCAAGGCGCTTGAGGGAAGGCTGACTGGTGTTCGATGGTTAATGCAGTGGCGCCATCTTCGTTGATTGTGTTCTGTATTAGCACAGTATACGGAGCTCTGTAGCCTTGGCAGTATAGAGAATTCTTTAAAGGACTGCCATGGATGAGACAAGTCATCTGAAGTTTGCATTGCATTAACGGCATGTAAATGTTAGATTTTGGAAAATTTATTGCTTTGCTTGTAACTTAACTGGTCACAGGAGGCTCGTTCCTCCAAGATTCTTAATATTAAAGTAAATTTTTATCCTTGTAATTATTGTGTACCAAAACACGTGTCTGCACGCCACTTAAATTTTCCTACTAAAATTCTAACTAGTAACATATGCTTACACAACGTTCAACCGCGTCCGGCAGTGTTCCTCTTGCAACGCAAGTTGTTAAGTAGTACTTCACAACCCTAGCAAAACAAGGGGTGAAGTGATCCGGTTGTGATAAAGAGCGGCAATAGCTAATATTTAAGTTTTATTTCTTCAGAAAAGACAAATATGAACGTGTCTTTTATTATTGCGAGAATATATTGCACTTAATCAAATGCTTAATGGCTGGTTACACAAGGGCGCTTCTCCATGCCCAAATCAAGGCTGCCGCCCAAGCGGAATTCAAACAGCCACATTGAAGACTCAAGCGTTGTCATGGCAACGGAGGCTATATCTTCAAATATTTTTATGCCAAAGCATCGTTTATTAGCTTAATCAATAATCAAATATGCTTTCATTACACCAGATGATATGCGTATGAAAATTATGGCCTACGTTTCCTTTGATGATTTTTTAAACAATCAAAACATCTTATTACAGGGTAGACGTTATAGGAAGACGTGTTTGTTGCTACTCAGGTATGTACAGCAGAAGTCTTTTGCACTGTCTTTCTCATCGGGATCTTCCTTTTGAAAGTACGAGGGAGTGCTGGGAAAAGAATAATCAAAGTTATTTGACACTAAATGCCTTTTTTAAGGGCAGGTAATCTTTGACTTGACCTTTGCGATTGCAAGTGTTTGAACTTAACAATTCATAAGTATTTTTGCAAACTATGTAAAATCGGGTTTCACTAAACTTCACCACCAGCGGCACCTCCGCTAAAAAGAGTGCAAATAAACTTGTAAACAGTAAAATTGTTTTTAATCAAGAACTATAACATGTTTCAGATATTGCTTCTTTTTATCAAATACGTCTAATATTCATGTCAAAATTTGCATAATTAAATTATAAATAATAATGCTGATGCAAAATGGTGTAAATGATAGTTCACAATATCCTATTATTGAAAGAAAATAACACGCAAAACATTTGACAGCAGAAGACTATTGAATGCAGTTATGGCGCACGAATGACAAAACATGACTATATTTATTTATTGCTCGTAGCTGGATCGTAGGGATTGTGCTAAGTAAAAAGGGGCATATAATGATTCAGCATAGCATATTTGTTTTAAATAATGATTGTTTTGCAGTATTGCACAAAAAGTAACAAAATCCGAACGTCTGGGCCACTGGAATTTCGGGTTTGTAAGTACAACGTTTTCTTTCAAGTTTGTGGTCTTCGTGAAACAGAAAGTTTGCGATTTCGATGTTTCTTACAAACTTTTTTCTTGTAAAAAAAAGTTGGTAAACCGTTAACTCAAAATTCATGCTCGGAGGTTTTGTGAAATCCAAATTAAGTGTTGGTAATTATTTCTTTTGAACTCCAGTTTTTTCGTTGTAATTACTAACTATATTTGTTAGTGAAAGAGGTCTCTGATGGCATTCTCTTTCTGTGACAGGCTTCTCGGCCAGCGCCATTCACTTCCAAGCTTACCTGCTGGAGGGGATGGTGCGCTGGACCGGGACCGTGCGGACGCCGCAGTCCAGCCACTGGAGCAGCAGCAGCGGCGACCGCGGCTGCACGACGACGCTCTGCAGCACCGCATCAACGAGCTGGCGGCGCAGGTGGGCGTGCCAGCGCTGTTCCCGGGGTACTGGCCGCCCGCCGAGTACACTGGTAAGAAGAACGGGGCTCTCAGTACAGTACAGGGTAATCAGAAAGTAGGGTCCGTGGTGACTATGTGTGGGCATATACTGATCTTAATTTAATTATGGATACGTTTTTCATTGCGGCAATGTCTTAGCTCGTTTCCATTGTTTTTGCATTGATGTTACCCAGCCAGCCAATCCAAATGGGGCCCACATGGGCTGGAAGTGGGGCATCTGGGCGAATGTGGGCTGGGCTACATCTGGGTATGTCATGGGCGTCCAACTGGGCCCCAGATGGGCTAGATGTGCTAACTTTACGTGCTGGACTTGGCCAGCGCCCCCACTGTGCCGCTACCCTGCCTGATCTGTGCCGCTACCCTGTCAGACTCCTGATCTGACAACTGCCTGGGCACACCCCTGCCCGCGCGTCCCTGCGAGGTCGCTAATACTGTGTCGCCGGCATTCGTTGTGTGGTGGCGCGGTCGCGAGGCGGCCGCGCCGGCAGTTGGTGACTATAAATAGACGCAATACGGCGCTGACGGACCGCGCGGGCCTCTATCACTATCGTTACAAACTCTTCTCCTTTTTACAATCGGTACACATCCACGCTTCCGTTCTCTACTGGCCGCCGGCCGCCAACCTGCGGTGGTAGGGTAGCGTAGTGTAGTGGTTAGGGTCCCCGCATCATGTTCCATAGGTCTTGAGTTCGAGTCTCTGGGGATCTAGTGATAGGCAAAGGGTACGCGGTTCTCCCACGTGTGACCACATTGCTTTTTGGGATTCACGCGGAAATAGTGGACGCATAAGCTAGGTACCAAATCCCAATTAAATTCCATGTCCGCTTTTTGCATGTGTCCTTGTGAGTCCCAACTGGGAAAGCCCGTGTGGGACCCAAATATATGCATATATCCCAGCTGGGTCCCATATGGGCCCCACTTGGGCTGCCCATGTGGGTCCCAACTGGGAAAGCCCATATGCGGGCTCAATGCGGGCCCCAGATGGGCCCCACATGGGCCCCGTCTGGGGTGCCCAGATGGGACCCAGTTGGACGCCCATGACATTCCCATCTGGGTCCAAGGTGGGCAGCCCAGATGGGTCCCAGTTTGGTGCCCACTTGGGGCCCATGTGGGCCCCACTTGGGAAGGCTGGCTGGGTACGGCCCGTTTGAAAACCCGGTCTTGTTTTGGTGCCCCTGTCGGGTCTGTGTTGCCCCTGATAGGTCGGTGATGCCCCTGGTAGGCCTGTAGTGCCCCCGGATCCCAAGGGGGCATGACCCATGTGACCCCACCTTGGATGCGCCACTGGTTGGCACCCATGCGAATTCCAGAAGCATCTAAAAACATTTTTTTTTAATACGAGCGAGCGTGAAATCTCTCTCTCTCTCTCTCTCTCTCTCTCTCTCTCTCTCTCTCTCTCTCTCTCTCTCTCTCTCTCTCTCTCTCTCTCTCTCTCTCTCTCTCTCTCTCTCTCTCTCTCACCACGGGTAACACACTCATTTTTATCACGAACACCAGCGTTCAGCATTAAGGAAGTCGTCCAACAATCAGCTTTACGACTGCTGTTCAATGACACAGGCTCTCTACCTTTTCAGTTTTCTTCACCTACAAAGGCCTTCATTGCTGCCCCAAAGTGGCTCTGGAGGAGGGCTACACGCTGGAGGAGTGGCTGGCCGAGCCCAAAACCAAAGAAATATTCAAAAAATCTAAAAAAAGAAACCTCGGCCAACGCTCCTGACGAGCCCGTGCCCCAGGGCCGAATCCCACGCACCACCCAGTGGAACCGAAGCAAGAGGGAGGCCAACGCCGGCAAAGTCCTAATGGTTGGCTGAGGCCTGGGCCACCATCCCGCCAAAGGGAAAGCAGCCAAGGAAAAGGTAAGGAAACCGGGGTCGGAGTCGAGTGGAAGGCACCGATCAATACATGAAACTGAGCGTGTTAGAACATGGGACTTTGAGAAGGGCGAGCCGATTCCCTGGATCGTTTTCCGTAAGAACATATGTATGCTACCGGTAGCCGTCATTGTTCAATCGGCCCGACATGTAATTAATTCTTTGATAGATCTATTCATATATGTGATCCCGTAACCCCGTTCCTTTGATAATTTTATCAATCGAAACAAATTCGAATCAAATTTCTACGCATGCCCGATTCCACAACCACGTTAAGTAGCGTTGCTCGGTTCTGACGCATTGTCAATTGTTTTTCTTTACGCCAGGTGACCAAGAATCTGGCGGCCGGCTCCGTGGCCAACGAGCGTGGCCAGGTCCTAAAACACGGTGCTCACGACCTCCGAGAGCCTGGACGCCCTGGGTCCGCTGGCGGCCGGCCTCGTCGACCGGCCGCTCGCGGCTCCAAGAGCTTCTTGGCGAGTGGCCGGGGCAGGTGGTGCGCCTGGGCGCGAGGCACTAAATGCGTCGCTTCGCGGTCGGCCTCACCAGCGTCAGCCACCCCCTGTACGGCACTTTTATGGCACGCCTCTCCTCCTGACTTTTTGAGTGGGACGCCGGCGACGTGGCCCAGTTGGAAGCCGCCAAGCTCGGGCAGCTGAAGGAGGAGGGCGTGGCGGAGCCGACGGCCCACGCAGCTCGCCTGGCCATCACGAAGAGTGAGCTGGCCCGCCACTGCCGCCGCCGAACAGCCGGCGTCCAGACGACCGTGGACAGGGTGGAGCGGCTCCTCCTGGAGCTGACAGACGCAGCGGACGTCCTCGGCACACCGCTGCTGAACGCGCCCGAGATGGCCTCCATCTGGGAGGAGCAGCGGCGGCACGTGGTCTGCCTTCAGGACCCCGAGGAGGCCGCGTGTCCGCCGCTCTACGTGCAGACCGGCACCTCCCGGATGGGCGGCGTCACCCCGCCGGTCTACCGCTGCGCCCGAGGCACAACGGGGCTGGAGTCCTACCACCTGCACCTCTGCCGGTTCATCCCAGGTGAGTAAAGCACCGCAATGAATTAGAGACTACAGAATACAGCACGGATGACTGAACATATTGCCTATTGGATTCCTTACCATTGTTTTCCATGCCAAGATGCCTTTCGGGTTCCGGGGCATTGTGTTCGATGTTACCGTTCATGTTTTCGCGTCCTTCTCACCTGATAACATTCTCTTTCTGTGACAGGCTTCTCGGCCAGCGCCATTCACTTCCAAGCTTACCTGCTGGAGGGGATGGTGCGCTGGTACCGGGACCGTGCGGACGCCGCAGTCCAGCCACTGGAGCAGCAGCAGCGGCGACCGCGGCTGCACGACGACGCTCTGCAGCATCGCATCAACGAGCTGGCGGCGCAGGTGGGCGTGCCAGCGCTGTTCCCGGGGTACTGGCCGCCCGCCGAGTACACTGGTAAGAAGAACGGGGCTCTCAGTACAGTACAGGGTAATCAGAAAGTAGGTTCCGTGGAGACTATGTGTGTGCATATGTTGTTTTTAATTATGGAGACGTTTTCCATTGCGGCAATGTCTGTTTCGTTTCCATTTTTTTTTTCGTATTGACACCGCTGAAAAAATTGCATGCAGTCTGCTGGGGGAAGTTCCCTACGTGGGGGAAGAAAGAGGGTGGAGCGAAGGGTTAGAGGGGACTAGCGGCCGCTGATCATTTGGGATGTTTTAGCCCCGCCAGTCGCCGCGCCGCCCACTTAGGCCGGCCGGCCGCCAGCTTTCAGCAGTGTCGCCCGTCCGGCTCACGGGCGTGGCCAGGCATCGAGTTTGGTCAGACATAGTACTAATTCTATGCTCGGCCGGACTTCAATACCCGGGTAACGGACGCCACAAGACTATGGACCGGTTTGAAGTAACTTGTTTTCTTGTTCGAACTCACCATGGACGATTTCCACGCGCACGTAAATATTTGTCGTTGCCTATTTGTTAATTCGATCATTTTTTTTTGTCGGCATTTGTTGGGATTAGTTAGTTTTCGTTTCTTTAGAATTGTTCCGTTTCAGTTTCACTTTCTCTTCTTCATGTCGGGGAAGAGACGCCGTCAGGATCTCCCGCGACTCCAACTCTCCTTGGCTGACTCTCCTGGGCCCTGTTTCACCGGCCCGGCGCGGCGCTGCGTTGGTGTGGCGTTATGCACAAATTCAGCTACACCCTTCAGCGTTGCGAGCGTCCGAGTTTGATGACGTTTCCATGGGAACTCAACTTACGCACCGCTGCGCGCAGCGCCCTGCCTCGGCTCGATCCATATGTGTTAAACACTGCTGATCGTTGAAATAATGCTTGCAATGCTCGTATTGTGTTCTTGATATAGATTGCCACTCCTCGGAGTCCACTTGCTCCCGTCTCCCGTCTTGGGGATGATGGATCGAGATGTAATGAATGTCCTGCAATCGACAACAGGGCAAGAGGTAGTGGACCAACCTGAGTCCTTTGGATCATTTCTTTGAGTAACACCAAGTCGGGTTCGTCGTCAGCTGCTATGGCCTTGAACGCTGAATTCTTCTCGAGGGATTTGATTTTCTCGGCTTCATGTTTGTTAGTAGCGGAGTAAGTCTTTTCCGTCCTTCTATGCGAGTCTGTACCCTCCATTTTTTCAGATGCAACCTTCCCAGACGCTTGTTGACAAATTGATCGCAGTAGTGTATGTAGAAGTCCGGCATCATTGTATTTCGTCTGGTTTCCAAGGAGTCATGCCTGTTTTTTGAGGAACAGGCTCATGTGACCGAGCGTGGTTCGGCTCGCTCCTGGCTTGATCGTCCCCACCTGAAGTGATAACGGCAGATAACGCTCTTCCGCCGCCAGCGTGGCCTTCATCCGCTGTTGTTTCTATAATTGCACTTACGTTACTTTTTTCTAAATGAGTGATGGGCCGGTCCAATCCTGTTGGAAGGATGGACTCCGGTCTGACATTCCGCTCTCTGAGTGGCTTGCCCTGCCAAGCATCGCACCACCTGAAACGAAGCCGGAGGAAAGCACAACTAGTAGATACATAAGATGAGAGCTCTAGCATAATACACGACGTGCCATATTGCGTGTGTCGGTCATTTTCAGTGCTAAATAACGGGTGTGCACTTAGTTTCTGGAAAAAGTTTGTGCTGCCATAACTTTAGTGTTTGAACTTAGATTAAGATGATATTTGGCACATATATAAATTGCAACAATAGTTAAGAGTTGTCAAAAGAATTAGGCGCTCTCTCCTCCCAGGCGGTCTACAGCCCACGTGCTATACAAACGCCCCCTGTTGAAATTGCGCGGCACCTCCGGGTCCAGGTGTGGCGATGGCTAGCGGGCTATGGACTTCAAATAGACGCTAATATGTACTTAACATCTTCCTTAGTACTGTATTGTCTTCATAAGTCCCCATTCGGTCGCCGTTGAGATATGTCAAGAAGATTCTCTTCGCGGCTCACAAACGGTACTTGTGCGCCGTCCCGTAGATCCAGCGCTCCGCGCGCACAGTGACTACATTGTGGTGTGATCATGACACCTATACTTTCCTCGGGTAGTGATGCTCCCAATGTGACAAAATTTCTTTATTTAAGCACTGCTGTCAAAAGATATCGACGTCGGCATTGGCTGCATAGGGCTAACGTAATGATTGGATACCGCCCGTGGGGATAGGGCGGTCCACTGACCAGGAGATTGCGTCGAAAGTGGTCAACAGGCTAAGGTTCCACATTTTGTGAGCGCCTGCTTCTCGAGTTGGTGTTTTACCCCATCTTCATTACATAAAATTTCCCTTTTAGGCGATCTAATGCCAGCATCCACAGGTGACTGCTTGATTCGTCTGTGCACTCAGCATTTATCGTGATAGCGTACAGATCCATGTCTCATTGCTCCTGTGCTGCTTTTATCGGCTGCCGAGTGCTGGATCATGGTATCTCTACCCTTTTTGGTATACAATATCACAATTTAAATTTTTCCTTACAAATATGGAAAACGGGAGGACGGGAAGCGTATCGGGAACACTCACAAGATGGTGAATATCTTTTACCAGAACGAGCCTCTTCTGCTGGGGCACTTTCGCCACGAACCAACACATCTGCACACTGTGCATGTGCCATGCACTTCCCCGTGCTTGTGCCGTTCCTCTAATGGCATAAGCTTTCTTTCTAGCAATGCTTGGAAAGCGCCAGTGGGAAGAGAAGTTGTTTCTCTCGAATTTTTGTTATTTTTGTGAAAATTCCGCCACGTTTTTCCGCGTTCATGACTTAGTTGTAAGCTCTTTTCTGTATGAAAAAATAGTCGGTTTGGTCTGAATTTTGGCATGCTCATTCCCAAATAAATGATTATTCACTATACGAAAAATTGTATTGATAGCTTTAATAGCTTTAAAGATACGGATCATCAATCTTTTTCCAGAAACTAAGTGCACACCCGTTATATCACACGATTAGCTCTAATACACATGGAAGGGTTATAATTTGACAAACAGCTCACCTTGTTCGTCGAATCGATCTTTGGATCCGACCGTATGTGGAGGTGACGTTGGCCTTCAGTATACGGCCAGCCGCTCGTACACGTCCTTGACATGGCAGGCCAAGAATCAGCCGGACGACGGCACTGCCGGCGGCGGCTGCAGCACGTAAGGCGCCTGGCGCAGCGCTCTGGCACCCTCACTGTCAAACAAAATGTACCGATTTGTCTGCTCACAGCATTAACATTCGAGTACATTTTCTACACGCTCGCGCATTATAGTCTTTCTTTCTCACCTACCGGTGTCGGCGACAGTCGTCGTAGGCAATCGCCAGCGCCGCTCAGGCCTCGTCGGATGAAAAGTGTATGTATTGTGAACAGTTAAAAAAAAATCACGAACAATTCATTACACAAGACGCACAGTAGAAGCACGCATATGAGAAACGCAGTGGTATTACTCACCAGAGCGGATGACGGACCGGCAAGATGGACGCCGACGCCGATCTCGACGCGATAGCGCGCTCGCATCCAGCGGCCGCCGAGGTGGACGGCGCCGGGGGCTGTCCGCCCGCTGCCGCCGAGATGGACGTTCTGGTGCCTGGTCTGGTGTCTGACTCGGAGATGGACCCGCGGCTGGAGCCGCCGCAACCTGGCTTGGACGGCAGTCTGAGCTGATGACGGGGCCGGGGTCGGAACCACAGCCTGGCTCGGCAGGACCGGGGGCAAAACCGCGGTTGGTGGTGGTGCAAGAACCGGAGCCAGGACCAGGAGCGGTGCCCAGCCATGACCGGGAGCGGAGCCGGAGTCTGGGCCGGGGGCGGAGTCGCGTCGGGGCTAGGGCTCGGGGCGGAGCCGGTACCGAGAGCATTGCCGGTGCCAGGGCGCAAGCGCAGGCGTTCAAGAGTGGAGTTTGAGGCGCGAAGAGCAGCGGCACGTAAAGTAAAGATACATTCACAAGTGCAAGTGAACACAATAAGCTAAGTAAGCTAAGTATGTTACGGATTGAAGCGCGACATCGAACAGCGTGCGGGATGGCCGTTCTTCCATCTGTTAGCCCGTGCTAGGGTAATGGTCGCTTGATTAGTGCTGCCGCCTATCGGCGCGAGATAATTTCCTTCGTGCCTTTTTTGATTCGCTGTTTGTGCTGCCTTTTTTTGGAAGTGTGGCGCGTTCAGTTGTGCCTTGAGGGACGTATCTGGTGTGCCACGCGGTCCAAATGGTGGAATGTTCCAGGTCGTCTTGTGGTTGGAACGAGTTTGGTTGCTGAACGATTTTTTTTTTTTTTGTTCTGTCAGTGGCCTCTGTGGAAGACTTGTCGCGAGCCAGGATTGGTATTGGTTGGTCCATTGCTGGTATTGCTTTTGAGTTTAGTAGGCCCATTGGTGGCCTCCCTTTGGAGCTCTGGTGGGCCCACTTTGCTGACCCCTTGAGAGTTTTTTTTTGCCCTTTCTGACCTTTTTACGTGCCCCATTTGCTAGCGCTTTTGAGTTTTGATGGGCCCCGGGGCGCCCAAGGGCCCAAAACACACGGTTTGTCGGAAGGTCATTTCTTGCTCAAACGAAACAGAATATACCATTCGAAAGCTGACGGTGAGCTGATTACCAAAAATGTTATTTGTAGCAAAATCGTTAGATGGCCTTTTGTTAAATCGCGTTTTTGTAAAAAAAATGTTAAGTTTTTTATTCAACGGGCTGTACCGGGCATTCTTGAAATCGTAGACATTTTTAAAGTTCAAGTGAAAGCTGAAAACCAAAAGATTTTTTTGGGGGAAACAATATTTTCAAACATTAATATCCCACAGCCGACAAAAAGGCGCGATCACACAGCTCATTCTCACGATGGACTCTTGGTACGGTCACCAAAACATTGTCGCTTAAGTACGAATTACGCCGCAAAGTTGAGCTGCCATGTGAAAGTGGGCTTACTTTACGGCAGGCCAGTGGCACAATGACGATCGAAGGCACATCACAACCAAAACGGCATCGGTTGCACCGCTCCACTATGGGACGGACGACCTTCAAAATGCCCATTAACCCGCGAGTTGCTGGGGGGGGGGGGCGTTAAACGCCCCCACTTTTTTCGCCGGGCCATAGCATAAAAACGGCGCGCCGCAGGCGCCCCGAATTTTGCGTACCTGTAGGGAATTGTTTGAAGTTTATTGTGACAAAGTTTCCAAAAAATCGGTCGGAAAATTTTTGAGATATCGAGATTTTAGTGACGTCATGATTTCTGAGTTTTCGACCAAAAACGGCATATGTTCAAAAAATCATATAAAATCACAGAATAGACATACAGACATGCCGTAAACGCCATTAGACTGCCAATACCATGATCAATCAAATGGATATCTTCGATTATTGATTATCGTTCCGCATTTTCCATAATCTTGAACTGAATCTTGGCAATTTCTCGTGACTACTTCACGACCATGACACATGCATTTCTTAAATTGAACTTTTTGAGCCAAACACGTACACATATGATAAAATGAATGTCACCATCGTGTTCTACGCCCCAAATTACATATAAAACATGTGTCACAAGCTGCGAATATCAGTTTTGATTTTCGGGGATATGTGCCTACCCGGTTGACCTGACCTTGACCCTGACCTATGCTTGACTGACGCCTACATGGAGCTGACACTCTTGTAGGTCTTTTATGATGGATTGTGCACCGTTTTGACAGAGTTTATGACGAGAGGCGCCCATTGCGAAGTCCTGAAGTCCATGCCACTGATAGCCCGATTTCAGGTGTTTGACCTGACCTTGACCCGACCTGTGACCTCAAAATTCAACTTTTAAGTACTCATCTGAAGCGTCTCGTCGCGTTCTTTCGTTTGCCGCCTCGTGCGTTTCGCTGCGCCTATTGGTTCTCGAGTTATCGGCTGGGGGCGTCTAACGCCCCCCCCCCCCCCCAGCAAACGGTGGGTGGCGAAATACCCCAGCAACCAAGATTACTTTACTACTCAGGTTGGTTCACTAGGGAAATAAAGGCGCCGTGGTGACGTCACGGATTTGGTAGCAATCTGGTAGCAATTTTTGCAGACATCAATGGCGCACGTGTTGTTTGATCGTCGCCAATACTATTTTACTGCACTATTTTGTTATTTCACTGCAATGTATTGTACATTACATTTGAAAATTAAAATAAAGAAATATTCGTAACCCAGCAAGTCAGTTATTCTTTGAGGCAGCACTCTGTCAGCATTGAGCCTTCAGAATGTGTTATTTGATAGACTTTCCCACATTTTCTACTCTTGTGGAAAACTTTCTTAGTCATCAAAAATGTATGCACATATGAATAATTAGAACCTCATTTTCAAAGTTTTATAGAAATAAGATTTCACATTACATTATCATAAGGCTACCTGTCCATTTCGTCCAACCAATTAAACATTCATCCAGCAGAAGGCAGGTACCTCCGAGAAGGTACTGATATCTCTTATCTACTGTACACCAATATTTCAGGAAAATGACAGAGACTGAGAAGCTATTAAAACTTCAGCGTATGAAAGGGATGTTATGGCTTATGCACATTGAAAACATCAGATAATGCTTTTGAACCATCTCATTCACCAGCACACATCAATCCGGCTCCTGGCTTCTGTCAAGGAAACATTCCAAAATAATGCATTATTTTATTTCATTGACCACCTTGCAAAAAAACAAAAATAGTCAACAGGTAGGTACCAGCTGATCTAGTCGTGCTGTGTCATGTGCCTTTGAAAAACTTGAGCAGTCAGGGTTGAATAAACACCCCAAACTTAGCCATTCATGCATGAACAAGTGCAAATTCTGGTCGAGCATTTAAATAAAAATGAAACTTACAGCATTGTAGGTTACTATTATAAAAAAGACAATTACAAAAAAAAACAGCAGAGCTTACTCTACAAGGCATAACCATTAATTTTATAACTGACATCCAAATTCGCATCTCCGAAGTTTAAACCACCTACCAGCCTCTTACCTGGTACTCTTACCTGGTGGGGCTCCTTCTGCTTCGCAGCCGGTAGTAAGGACTGGAGCAGGAGGAACCCGGATAGGATCAGGACACGCCAGTCACAGTCTCCCCACGATGATGTCCTGTAGATATGGCCAGATGACTGGAAAGTGTGTGTCCTCGTGGCATATGCCATTGGAAAACAACACTTATCGGTATGTTTGCACAAATATCGCGAGTCAGATGTAGTCGTACAATGTGTTACCTAGTGCCTGTGCGAGAAGTCGTTTGAAAGACGACAGATCTGAAGCGGCCACCACGGCCTCTGGCAAACTATTCCAGATAGCCACCCGACGATGCGAAAACGAGCGCTGCCGCACGTTCGAAACAGCACGTGCTACATGCAGCTTGAAGCAGTGACCACGAGTTCCACCTCGGGGAGGCTGATGGAAAATGTCCTCAGGGGTTATTGTGCTCTTCCCATGGAAAATCTTCCAGTACTGTATCAGATCGGCGCGAATTAGTCGGCCTTGCACAGAGAAAAGGTCAAGTTCCTTCAGCCTCTCCGCATAAGTCATGTCATGCATCCCTTCAATGTGTTTTGTCCATCTGCGCTGTACCCTTTCTAGTTTACGCACATCCTCAGCATATTCGGTGTACCACAGACAAGACGCATACTCAAGCACAGGCCTTACATGCGTCCTGAGAAGGAACAACATGAATGCGGGTGATCGACAAACTGTAGCCTTTTTAAAATTGTGACACAGTCCACCGGCCTTATGCACTACAGTGGCTATATGTAGATGAAATTTTAACGAATCATCGACCAACACTCCTAGGTCACGCTGCGAGTGATGGATCGGAAGTGGTGTACCGTCTAACGTGTACAACGGCTGAGATTGGCTACAGAACTTCCGGGAAAATCTCAACACCGCACACTTAGCCTTGTTCATGCGCAAGCCCCAGGACAGAGAGGTCTTATACAGCACGTCAATATCTTGTTGCAGTGTCGGATCTGTCTGGGGATACAACGACACAGAGTTGCGCGCAACAGAAGCATACAATTTAAGGTCATCGGCAAACATCTTAAAAGTACAGGAAAGCTTTGAGCACACAAAATTAATATATATCAAAAACAACAGCGGACCTAACACGGAACCCTGTGGAACACCACTGCACACGTCTCTGCTGCTGCTTAAGTTACCACCAACACACACCTGCATGACTCTATCTGTTAAGAATGAAGAAATCCAAGAGAGTAGGCATCCATCAATACCCAACAGCTGAAGTTTCCTAAGCAGTATTCTATGACACACCACATCGAACGCCTTGGAGTAATCAAACAGAACAAGATCAACGGTCTGACCTGCGTCAACTTTCGATGATACGTCGTCATAGACAAGTAGGAGCTGTTCCATCACCGATCTCTCGGGACGGAACCCAAACTGGTGCTCCGATATAATTCTATTTGAATCCAGGTACTCGTATACATGTTTGGCAATGACACGTTCTAGCACCTTACAACAGACAGGGGTAAGACTTACGGGTCTATAATTAAGGGGTTCATATCGCTTTCCCTTCTTAAACAGCGGTATTACATTAGACCTCTTCCAGGCGCTTGGAACGGTACCTTCCACAATCGATCGGTTAAAGATAACATGTAAAGGGTAAGTTAGGACATCACTACAATTTTTTAACACTAGCGGATGAATAAAATCAGGACCCATTGCAGAGT